TGTTTGCTTCCTTTTTTCCAGTTTCAATCCTGCAAAATAAAGAAATTTTAAGTAAAAGGAAAATCTAACCCTACTTTTCATTCTACAGGTAACAAAAAATCATTCGATACTACGTTATTTTTATAATTTTTGTTCCAAATGAATGTATTCGAATGATATTTTGTCTTTTTAACGAATTATTAGTAATTACATACCTTTTTAGCATAATATTCCATTGTTCGAAGGTTCTCCGATCGAAGTACTGGGTTGTTCGGTTAATGTTGAAAATGGCAGAAACAATCCAAAATATGCCTCCAATTGTTGTTGGCGGTTTATTCCAAGCTACTAGTTGTCCTTTGCTTCTTATTATCCCGTGCCAATCCTGCAAAATAAGGAAATTTTAAGTAAAAGAAAAATCCAACAGTACTCTTTTTTCTACGGGTAACTTAAATCCTTACCATTTCATTTTGTAGGCCCAGCAGTCTGGAAAAGCCAACAAAACGGTCGAATGTCCCATAAAACGCACCAAATTATCCAAATTTACGGCAAAAACATTCCTCTTGCGTTCTACCGCTCTCTCGGAAGACTTGAAACGGCATCAGATCCCTGAAAAATTTAAAAAAATGGTTAGAAATAGGTTCTTTCACATAGAAAATTCAATTCTTACCTTTTTAGTATCCATTTTGTAGGTCCAGCAGTCTGGAAAAGCCAACAAAACGGTCGAATGTCCCATAAAACGCACCAAATTATCCAAATTGACGGCAAAAACATTCCTCTTGCGTTCTACCGCTCTCTCGGAAGACTTGAAACGGCATCAGATCCCTGAAAAATGTAAAAAAATGGTTAGAAATAGGTTCTTTAGCATAGAAAATTCAATTCTTACCTTTTTAGTATCCATTTTCTAGGCCGAGCAGTCTGGAAAAGCCAACAAAACGGTCGAATGTACCATAAAACGCACCAAATTATCCAAATTGACGGCAAAAACATTCCTCTTGCGTTCTACCGCTCTCTCGGAAGACTTGAAACGGCATCAGATCCCTGAAAAATGTAAAAAAATGGTTAGAAATAGGTTCTTTCGCATAGAAAATTCAATTCTTACCTTTTTAGTATCCATTTTCTAGGCCGAGCAGTCTGGAAAAGCCAACAAAACGGTCGAATGTACCATAAAACGCACCAAATTATCCAAATTGACGGCAAAAACATTCCTCTTGCGTTCTACCGCTCTCTCGGAAGACTTGAAACGGCATCAGATCCCTGAAAAATGTAAAAAAATGGTTAGAAATAGGTTCTTTCGCATAGAAAATTCAATTCTTACCTTTTTAGTATCCATTTTGTAGGTCCAGCAGTCTGGAAAAGCCAACAAAACGGTCGAATGTCCCATAAAACGCACCAAATTATCCAAATTGACGGCAAAAACATTCCTCTTGCGTTCTACCGCTCTCTCGGAAGACTTGAAACGGCATCAGATCCCTGAAAAATGTAAAAAAATGGTTAGAAATAGGTTCTTTCGCATAGAAAATTCAATTCTTACCTTTTTAGTATCCATTTTCTAGGCCGAGCAGTCTGGAAAAGCCAACAAAACGGTCGAATGTACCATAAAACGCACCAAATTATCCAAATTGACGGCAAAAACATTCCTCTTGCGTTCTACCGCTCTCTCGGAAGACTTGAAACGGCATCAGATCCCTGAAAAATGTAAAAAAATGGTTAGAAATAGGTTCTTTCACATAGAAAATTCAATTCTTACCTTTTTAGTATCCATTTTCTACGCCGAGCAGTCTGGAAAAGCCAACAAAACGGTCGAATGTCCCATAAAACGCACCAAATTATCCAAATTTACGGCAAATACATTCCCCCTGCATTCTAATCCTCTCTGGGAAGGCTTCAGCATTCCTAAAAATACAGAAAAATCGTAAGAAAAGGGTTTCTTGTTACAGAAAATTCAAACCTTACCTTTAAAAAGGAAGAAATCGGTCGAAATTGTCATGAAACTTTCCAAATAATCCGGATTAACTGTAAGAACATTCCTCTTCCATGCTAATCCTCTCTGGGAAGGTTTATATAGGCTTCAATATACCTAAAAATAAAGAAAAATCATTAAAAAAAGGTTCTTTCTCATAAAAATTAATTCCTTACCTTTTTCAGTCTCCTTCGTTGCGAGAAATGGAGCTCGATCGTTCCTGTAATACCATAAAAAACAGACATTTACTAAAAAGCAATATTAATACAACTAAAAAAACCTGTTAATTGGAGTATTGTCTAATTTAAAATGATTTACTTACCTAATTATCACTGAAAATCGCACATGAAACTGAAAAATCGACACAAAAATCGCTTCAAAAATTCTTGAGTAAAATGTCGGCGAAAACCAATTGAATTGTCAATAACAACGGGATTCAATTATTTTTATCGAATGTATATTACGAATAAAGGCAAGTACCAATATCAAAAATATCAATACAAAAATTAGGAATGACACTTGACATGACATTTAACGTACAGGTTTTTTTTAATTCTTTTTATAAAGAACAGGGCTGCGCCCCCTTACAACCACCCTTCTCTTTATGTTTCTTTTTTAGTAAGGGGGCTGCGCCCCCTTACAACCCCCCTTTCTCTTTACGTTCTTTTTTTAGTAAGGGGGCTGCGCCCCCTTACAACCCCCCTTTCTATTTACGTTCTTTTTTTAGTAAGGGGGCTGCGCCCCCTTACAACCCCCCTTTCTCTTTACGTTCTTTTTTTAGTAAGGGGGCTGCGCCCCCTTACAACCCCCCCTTTCTCTTTACGCTCTTTTTTTAGTAAGGGGGCTGCGCCCCCTTACAACCCCCCTTTCTCTTTATGTTTCTTTTTTAGTAAGGGGGCTGCGCCCCCTTACAACCCCCCTTTCTCTTTACGTTCTTTTTTTAGTAAGGGGGCTGCGCCCCCTTACAACCCCCCTTTCTATTTACGTTCTTTTTTTAGTAAGGGGGCTGCGCCCCCTTACAACCCCCCTTTCTCTTTACGTTCTTTTTTTAGTAAGGGGGCTGCGCCCCCTTACAACCCCCCATTTCTCTTTACGCTCTTTTTTTAGTAAGGGGGCTGCGCCCCCTTACAACCCCCCTTTCTCTTTACGCTCTTTTTTTAGTAAGGGGGCTGCGCCCCCTTACAACCCCCCTTTCTCTTTACGTTCTTTTTTTAGTAAGGGGGCTGCGCCCCCTTACAACCCCCCTTTCTCTTTACGTTCTTTTTTTAGTAAGGGGGCTGTGCCCCCTTACAACCCCCCTTTCTCTTTACGTTCTTTTTTTAGTAAGGGGGCTGCGCCCCCTTACAACCCCCCTTTATCTTTGCGTTTTTTTTTGTAAGGGGGCTGCGCCCCCTTACGACCCCCCTTACGTAGCGGCTCGAAGGCCTGCGGCCTTCTTCGCGCTCGCTCGTTCTTCGACACTCACCTGGCCGGATCCTCGCTCGCTGCGCTCGCTCGGTACGATTGGAATTTCGCTTAGAAATAAAAAAAACATTCCGTATATCAATTTTTTAATATAAAATCGCCCCGTACATCAAATTTTCATTTTTCCTTAACGAAAAAACACCCTGTACATTAAATGTCCCGTCGACGTTTCCTTAGAAACGTCAGTGACATTTTCAGTCATTGTGAGGTTGGTTCTTTGCCGCTGTCACTAGTGTACACTTTACGAAATTAATTGAAACATTTCTCGGTTATTCGTCAATAAAACGAGGAGAAAACTTGGAGGTTAGTAAATTATTGTATATTCTTTCATATTCAACCGTTGAAAGCGACTAAAAGGTTCGAATTAAGAAAAAATCTTGCACCGCGATAAAGTTCCACTCAAACTAAACGAACGCAAATCGTCCATCAAATAATTTCTTGAAAAATGTGTCAAAAATTTCAACTTTAAATCGATATTGTGAACGAAAACGAATTTAGCTGGAGAAAAGAGGTCGATTTTCGTAATCAGCGAATTTTTTCACGTCCCCCCAACTACCTCTCTACGCTCAAGTAATTCATTTTGAATTTCTGTCGCCAATCGGTCGTTAACGCCTGGGGTTTTATATATATAGTGACTCGCTAAACGCTCGGAAAGGGGGCTCCGCCCCCTTTCAACCCCCTTGCGCGACGTAAAAGGCCTTGCAATGCAAGTTATACACTGACCCGAATAGTAAAAGGCCTTTATTTCTTCTTCTACTTCAAACTTGTTTTTGACAGTTGACATTACTGTCATATTGTTAAACGAAAATATTTTTAATTTCCTGCAAGAGATTGAATTTGTAAATAGAATTTTAACTATAAGATAAACATAAATAACTAAAACAGTTACTAAAATAACAATTTACTTTATTACATTTCAAAATTAATAACATACTAATATTGTTTACGAAGATTCTCCACACGGTTGTTCGATCGAATGGAAATAAAGCCTGCAAGACTCCAGAATGCTGTTCTATTTGTTCCTGGTGGGTTATTTTGCTTTGCCAGTTGCTGTTTGCTTCCTTTTTTCCAGTTTCAATCCTGCAAAATAAAGAAATTTTAAGTAAAAGGAAAATCTAACCCTACTTTTCATTCTACAGGTAACAAAAAATCATTCGATACTACGTTATTTTTATAATTTTTGTTCCAAATGAATGTATTCGAATGATATTTTGTCTTTTTAACGAATTATTAGTAATTACATACCTTTTTAGCATAATATTTCATCGTTCGAAGGTTCTCCGATCGAAGTACTGGGTTGTTCGGTTAATGTTGAAAATGGCAGAAAAAATCCAAAATATGCCTCCAATTGTTGTTGGCGGTTTATTCCAAGCTACTAGTTGTCCTTTGCTTCTTATTATCCCGTGCCAATCCTGCAAAATAAGAAAATTTTAAGTAAAAGAAAAATTCAACAGTACTCTTTTTTCTACGGGTAACTTAAATCCTTACCATTTCATTTTGTAGGCCCAGCAATCTGGAAAAACCAAGAAAACGGTCGAATGTCCCATAAAACACACCAAATTATCCAAATTTACGGCAATAACATTCCTCTTGCGTTCTACCGCTCTCTCGGAAGACTTGAAACGGCATCAGATCCCTGAAAAATGTAAAAAAAATGGTTAGAAATAGGTTCTTTCACATAGAAAATTCAATTCTTACCTTTTTAGTATCCATTTTGTAGGCCGAGCAGTCTGGAAAAGCCAAGAAAACGGTCGAATGTCCCATAAAACACACCAAATTATCCAAATTGACGGCAATAACATTCCTCTTGCGTTCTACCCCTTTCTCGGAAGACTTGAAACGGCATCAGATCCCTGAAAAATGTAAAAAAATGGTTAGAAATAGGTTCTTTCCCATAGAAAATTCAATCCTTACCTTTTTAGTATCCATTTTGTATGCCGAGCAGTCTGGAAGAAGGATGAATACGGTCCAATGTACCACGAAACACACCAAATTATCCAAATTTACGGCAATTACATTCCCCCTGCATTCTAATCCTCTCTCGGAAGGCTTCAGCATTCCTAAAAATACAGAAAAATCATAAGAAAAGGGTTTTTTGTTAGAAAAAATTCAAACCTTACCTTTAAAAAGGAAGAAATCGGTCGAAATTGTCATGAAACTTTCCAAATAATCCGAATTAACTCTAAGAACATTTCTCTTGCATGCTAATCCTCTCTGGGAAGGCTTATATAGGCTTCAATATACCTAAAAATAAAGAAAAATCATTAAAAAGGGTTCTTTCTCATAAAAATTAATTCCTTACCTTTTTCAGTCTCCTTCGTTGCGAGAAATGGAGGTCGATCGTTCCTGTAATACCATAAAAAACAGACATTTACTAAAAAGCAATATTTATACAACAAAAAAACGTTTTAATCGGAGTATTGTTTGATTTAAATTGATTTACTTACCTAATTATCACTGAAAATCGCACATGAAACTGAAAAATCGACACTAAAATCGCTTCAAAAATTCTTGAGTGAAATGTCGCCGAAAACCAATTGAATTGTCAATAACAACGGGATTCAATTATTTTTATCGAATGTATATTACGAATAAAGGCAAGTACCAATATCAAAAATATCAATACAAAAATTAGGAATGACACTTGACATGACATTTAACGTACAGGTTTTTTTTATTCTTTTTATAAAGAACAGGGCTGCGCCCCCTTACAACCACCCTTCTCATTATGTTTCTTTTTTAGTAAGGGGGCTGCGCCCCCTTACAACCCCCCTTTCTCTTTACGTTCTTTTTTAAGTAAGGGGGCTGCGCCCCCTTACAACCCCCCTTTCTCTTTACGTTCTTTTTTAGTAAGGGGGCTGCGCCCCCTTACAACCCCCCTTTCTCTTTATGTTCTTTTTTAGTAAGGGGGCTGCGCCCCCTTACAACCCCCCTTTCTCTTTATGTTCTTTTTTAGTAAGGGGGCTGCGCCCCCTTACAACCCCCTTTCTCTTTACGTTCTTTTTTTAGTAAGGGGGCTGCGCCCCCTTACAACCCCCCTTTCCCTTTACGTTCTTTTTTTAGTAAGGGGGCGCAGCCCCCTTACAACCCCCCTTTCTCTTTATGTTCTTTTTTTAGTAAGGGGGCTGCGCCCCCTTACAACCCCCCTTTCTCTTTACGTTCTTTTTTAGTAAGGGGGCGCAGCCTCTTTACGTTCTTTTTTAGTAAGGGGGCTGCGCCCCCTTACAACCCCCCTTTCTCTTTATGTTTTTTTTGTAAGGGGACTGCGCCCCCTTACAACCCCCCTTTCTCTTTACGTTCTTTTTTAGTAAGGGGGCTGCGCCCCCTTACAACCCCCCTTTCTTTTTATGTTCTTTTTTAGTAAGGGGGCTGCGCCCCCTTACAACCCCCCTTTCTCTTTATGTTTTTTTTTGTAAGGGGGCTGCGCCCCCTTACGACCCCCCTTTCTCTTTAAGTTCTTTTTTAAGTAAGGGGGCTGCGCCCCCTTACAACCCCCCTTTCTCTTTACGTTCTTTTTTAGTAAGGGGGCTGCGCCCCCTTACCACCCCCCTTTCTTTTTATGTTTTTTTTAGTAAGGGGGCTGCGCCCCCTTACAACCCCCCTTTCTTTTTATGTTCTTTTTTAGTAAGGGGGCTGCGCCCCCTTACAACCCCCCTTTCTCTTTATGTTTTTTTTGTAAGGGGGCTGCGCCCCCTTACGACCCCCCTTACGTAGCGGCTCGAAGGCCTGCGGCCTTCTTCGCCGCATGACACTCACCTGGCCGGATCCTCGCTCGCTGCGCTCGCTCGGTACGATTGGAATTTCGTTTGGAAATCAAAAACATTCCGTACATCAATTTTTTTATATAAAATCGCCCCGTACATCAAATTTTCATTTTTTCTTAACGAAAAAACACCCTGTACATCAAAAGTCCCGTCGACGTCTCCTTAGAAACGTCAGTGACATTTTCAGTCAATGTGAGGTTGGTTCTTTGCCGCTGTCATTAGTGTACACTTTTCGATATTAATTTAAACATTTCTCGGTTATTCGTCAATAAAATGAGGAGAAAACTCAAAGGTTAGTAATTTATTGTACGTTCTTTCATATTCAACCGTTGAAAGCGGCTAAAAGGTTCAAATTAAGAAAAAAAGTTACACTAAGGTAAAGTTCCATTCAGAGTAAACGAACGCAAATCGTCCATCAAATAATTTTTTCTAAAATGTGTCAAAAATTTCAACTTTAAATCGATATTGTGAACGAAAACGAATTTAGCTGGAGAAAAGAGGTCGATTTTCGTAATCAGCGAATTTTTTTACGTCCCCCCATCTACCTCTCTACGCCCAAGTAATTCATTTTGCATTTCTCTCGCCAATCAGTCTATATCACCTGGGGTTTTATATATATAGTGACTCGCTTATGCTCGGAAAGGGGGCTGCGCCCCCTTTCAACCCCCCGCGGCCCAAAGGCAAGGCCTGACGGCCTTGCCTTTAGTACCGCGATTTTGGCCACTGCCTTATACTCTGAACGAATGTATTTGACATAAGAAAAATTAGCTTTAAAATTATTTGTGATCCTTTATTTTCATTTCTATTTATAATTCTATTCATAATTTCTCTCCTGATTTTCCTTTGTCGGCCCTAAAAATAAAAAAAATAGTAGAAATCAATGAGTGAAGTTAGAAACCCAAAACTTCAAAAATCTCAAAAATCACTTCATGCAAAAAAATACAAGTGACTTTTGAACTCTAATCAGAACTATTGAGAACTGAAGTTAGGTTTCTAACTTCACACATTCGATATCTAATATTTCTCTTTTGCCAAACAATATATCATTCATTACTTTATTAGTTTTTAAAGGATTTATTAAGCATAAATGTAATCGAATATTTCGTTAGACTAAGACATTTTATTAATTACTTACGAATTCAGTACGGAGATGGCAGCACATTTTCGAGTCACAAAAATTCGTGATAGAATCTTCTTAATTAGATTCTAGATAAAATCTGATTTAATAAGATAGAGTTTAAGTAATTAAACAATATTCGCCTATTATATGTGGTTCATTTATTGTAGTTCAATTCATTCAAATCTACGATAATTTTAAAATTTCCGCCTAATAAATGCCATAAAAATTTTAAAAAAAATCCTGTTTTTCAATTTCTTAAGTTCTTTGTGAATTTGTTAGATGGCAGCACATTTTCGAGTCACAAAAATTCGTGATAGTTTCCCAACTTATTAGTAAATAGTATGTATATGTAGTATGTAATATGTAGTAGTCTACATATTGTTTTTTATGGTAGTCTGTGAGACGATTTGTTTACATCTCAAACTAACATTATGATGACAAATGACAAAAGACTTATTTCTTTCGAAAAGATTTAGGCTTTGCCCATGGAGTAATTCAGCCCTTTTTGTACGTTTGCTTGATGTTAAATCTTCTTTTTTACTTAATGATATTTAATGGGACGGAGGCTCGACCGATACGCGATCGTAACGAACGATTTTAAAATCTGTTTTTGTTTCGCTAATGAATTTCATATTGGCTATCCAGTAGCGAGATTTCTCTGCGCTCGAACAAACGCTCAGTATTGTAAATAATTATTAAAATATGTTAACACAAACTAAAACAAACATAATATATTTTATATTTTTATTTATTTTTTATAAATTAATCACTAATTTGCAAAACTTAAATTTTAATCGAATAGGACGGCCGCCCCGCAATAATTCTACAATATCGCCCGGCTGGCTCTCAGAGCGGCGGCGGCGGCCGCTTCTAGCTCTTGACCGGCCCCGTCTGCCTCCTCTTCCAGTCCTGCCGCCGCGCCCACTGCCTCCGGAGACTGAAATTAAAATTAAAAAGTTATTATTTGATGGTTTATTTTAATATTAAGTTACATATGAAACATGTTATTTAAAAGAATACTCTTGTACTTTTGAATTGTTATTTTAAACATTATTTTTTTTTACTTACTTGTGGAGGCGGCTGGGGACCTTTGCGGCTCGTCCACCGACAGCGAGTTCGTTTGAGCCCCGTACGCGGATGCGTTCGTTTGAGCCCCGTACTCCGCCTGTGGCTCCCGCTCCGGTATATTACGTTGATCTGCAAAAAAATAACAAAATTATAAAAAAAAATATTAACAACTTATTGTTAAGATAACAACTGTTACAGATAAGTTAGTATAAAAACTTTTGATATCTTGTTTTAGAAAAATGAGTCATTCACAGTAATTGAAGAACAATTTACATGGAGAACAAATAAGGATTATTTGGAATTTAAATAACGTATCGAAAATTTTTGAAATATGTAAAAGATTTTTTTTAGATTACTTACTATTAACTTCTATATTCCACCTCAAGATCTTTTGAAATGAGCGGGAGCGGGAGATGAGTAACGCAACGTCAGGGTTGTTCTATTGTCAACAGTTTTGGCGCATTTATGTACAATGTTGTCTATTTTGGTAATTCCTATCCATTGTTTTTTTTGGAACCTCTTGTGTGTACTTCGTATTATCTCCTTGATATGGTGTGGGTAGGATTTCCTCGAAATATCAGTAGTAATTCTTAAGCAAGGCAATTTGTATATCTAAATAGGAAAAACAAATTCTTTTTAGTACGAATTAAAATTTGTCAAGTATTATTCCTATTACTATAGTATAACAAATGTGATAATAAAGATCAATAAATCATTATTACTATAAGCAACTATTAAATTTAGACAAATAATTAAATTGTACCGATACTTACATAGTTGAAACATATGTTAAAACGATGGGCCCAAAAGAAATTTAATGATGAAAGTATTAGAGTATTCGTTTTTGTATCTCATCCATTCGAAGAAGTTCATTTGTAACCCTGCAAAAAAATGGAAATATGAAAAAATAACGAATTTATACAATATTTATTCGATCTATTTGAGCAACATAGTTTATTTCCACACCACCTTGAATGTTGTAATTTCCTAACGAATGTAGGTAATAAAAATACCAATTTAATATTCGTTATACAATTAAACATTTTGAGGTAAAACTATGGCGCGTTGTGTTTATTTTATACATGTCTCTCGCCAAGAGCCCTACGACATGTTTCTAAACATTTGTTTCTAGCTTCAATGGATACTACTCCATTTATAATTGAATAAAAAAACGTTCAACAATATTCTACCCATATTTACTT